TAATAAATTCATTTTGGTAATTTTTTCCCAACCCTAAACAACCAAATTTCAACCATACTAAAAGTCGATTTAGAATACATCATATCCTATTTGTATCCTTATTGATTAAGCTTTCTTTTAAGATATAACACAAAAAGATATTTGAATTCACCAAGAAGTTACTAAGCGAAATGTAATTGTCGTATTATCCATTTTTATACAGTCTAAGCAACGTCGTTTTAGCTGTACAACTAGTCATATTAAAATGAGTCATATCTCAATCGAATTCTTACGTTTTAAGCTTTCTTTTATGATATCATACTTTAAAGTATTTAAATTTGTTAAGAAATTACTAAAGGAAGTAATAAATTCATTTTGGTAATTTTCTCTCAACTTTAAAGAACCAGACCTTAGCCATACTAAAAGTCGATTTAGAATGCATCCTACCCTATTCGATTCCTTGTTGATTAAGCTTTCTTTTAAGATATATCACAACAAGATATTTGAATTCGCCAAGAAGTTACTAAGGGAAATGTAATTGTCATATTGTCCATTTTTATATAATCTAAGCAACGTCATTTTGGCGGAACAACTAGTCATATTAAAATGAGTCATATCTCAATTGAATTCTTACGTTTTAAGCTTTCTTTTAAGATATCACACTTCAACATATTTGAATTTGCTAAGAAGTTACAAAAGGAAGTAATAAATTTTGGTAATTTTCTCCCAACTCTAAACAACCAGACCTCACCCGTACTAAAAGTCAATTTAGAATGCATCATGTATTATTTTATATTAAAATATATATATATATAATTTTTAATATACAGTGTGTTAATTAATTATCGTACCCGACGTCATCAATGCAAGTATGCAACCAATATCACAGTTGAAATCGCACAATACGCAAATCGCGTAGTGCAATAAAAATACTGTGATATTGGTTGCATATGTTATAACGATATATACGTTTTAAAGAGGACACTTTTAGCTTTAATTTTTTAATTTTAATATTTAAGCCTTGCGCGATTTTTTGTAATTGCGTTAATGAAAAACATTAATAATTTTAGCAGCATTAAACATAACGTCGAAAATAAACATAAATTTATCCGGGATCCTGTCGTTGGGCGAAACGAGTAGACACGCTCTCGCTGCCACTGGAAATAAATATATAATGCTCTCTTAGACTTTTGCTCTAAAATGCATAAAATTCGAGAAAAATGCCAAAAATTGAAAATTAGATGAAATCGTGGTTTGACTCTTAATGTTGGTAGACTGCAGGATGTGAAACGTTTTAGAAAAAAAGTTTTAATATAAAAGTTGTGGCAAATTATATTCTTGACAATATTGCTCTCTTAGACTTTTGCTATAAAATGCATAAAAATCGAGGAAAATGATAAAAAGTAAAAATTAGATGAAATCGTGGTTTTGTCTTAATGTTGGTAGAGTACAGGATATGGAACGTTTTAGAAAAAAAGTTTTAATATAAAAGTTGTGGCAAATTATATTCTTAACAATATTGCTCTCTTAGACTTTTGCTCTAAAATGCATAAAAATTGAGAAAAATGCCAAAAAGTTAAAGTTAGATGAAATCGTGGTTTTCTCTTAATGTTGGTAAAGTGCAGGATATGGAACGTTTTAGAAAAAAAGTTTTAATATAAAAGTTGTGGCAAATTATATTGTTAACAACATTGCTCTCTTAGACTTTTGCTCTAAAATGCATAAAAATTGAGAAAAATGCGAAAAAGTTAAAGATAGATGAAATTTTGGTTTTGTCTTAATGTAGGTAGAACGCGAGATGAGGAACGTTTTAGAAAAAAAGTTTTAATATAAAAGTTGTAGCAAATTATATTCTTAACAATATTGCTCTCTTAGACTTTTGCTCTCAAAAATAGATAAAAATTAGTTTTTCACCATATAACTTAAATTTATCTTGATTAATTTCCGGTCAACAAATTTCGTTCTTGCAGAACTTGGAAAAACAAACCGCAAAGTTTCGGATGGAAAAAAGCCAAAGTTTTCCCTCACCCCGATGCGAACCTCTCCACCTGTGTCTCTCAACCCCTTTTCAACACCACCCCATCCGATTTCTTCCCCTCTTTTATAATTCTTTTGAAAAGAATCCCGGATTAAAAATACTTATGGAATAATTATTACGATTTCTCATCTTCTCATTTATTTTTAACTTAACCCTTAATATTGTTATTCCACACGCTAAGGTCGTGTCATCGTTTTTCGCCGCGTTGTCTCTGCTTCCGGGGCATCAAAAACTTTATACGTTCCACTTTAATTTTCAATTCGTCTTCATTTTTTTTCCTTCCCTTTTTTGGTCGTGCCGCTTTGTACAAACGGTGAATCAAGTGAACAAAGGGTTTTATACAAGAAGGAATGAATGCCGATGATCATGCGATCATTTTTAATGCGTCCCGCTCACGCATATGTTTTATATATCAACCGGAAAAGGGTTAAAGAAAAAAATTCATCTTCTTTTTGCGTTCGTTTTTCTATTTTCGCGATCAATTAGAAAAGCACTTAGTTGGAAAAAGATGAAATTAAAAAAAGCTTCATCTCGGTCGACATTTCCACCCCCAACCCCCACGACTCTTTCTCAAGCCACCCCCCAACGAAACGAAAGGGGTCGAAAGGAGATCGAAAAGGGCGCAGGTGTCCGAGGCTTCTTCTTCACTCGGCCAGAGATTAATCCGAAAAAGTAATACTTTTCCAGTCAGAAAGAGGTTGTTATTTATACCCTCGTTTTCCTGGTGGCGGTGGCGGCTGCGGTTAAAAAGGGGGTGGGAAACGATTTTAAAGCTTAGCGAGATTTTCACGATTTTGCACCTGATTACACCTTAAAATATCTTTACATTTCTAAGCTATTATAAGAAAGCGGATTTGAGCAAAACCAAAAATATTAATTAATGATATTATATCACTCTATAATCAGCATTAATTAAGCTTTCTTTTGAGATATATCATTTTAAAATATTTGAATTTATTTAGAAGATATCAAACGATGAAGCAAATGTTGATTTGATCATTTTAACCCATCACATATATCATATTAAAAAGAATAATAAAAATTCCTTTGAAAGATATCATATCATTTTAGCATCCTTATTAAATAGGCTTTCATTTGAGATATGGCACATCAAAATATCTTAATTAATATAGATAGCGTCGAAGAGCAAATATTAGGTTGATTTTGGCAATTTTAATCTATTACAAAAAAGCGGATTTGAGCAAAACCAAAAATTTTAATTAATGATATTATATCACGCTGGAATCTCAATTAAATAAGCTTTCTTTTGACATATATCATTTTAAAATGTTTAAATTTACTCAGACGATATCGAAAGATGAACAAAGGATGATTTGATCATTTTAACCTATCACATATATCATATACTGAGAGATAACAGAAATTCATTTGAAACATATCACATCATTTTAGAATCCTTATTAAATAGGCTTTCATTTGAGATATGGTACATTAAAATATCTTAATTAATATAGATGGCGTCGAAGAGCAAAAATTAGGTTGATTTTAGCAATTTTAACCTATTACAAAAAATCGGATTTAAGCAAAACCAGAAATTTTAATTAGTGATATCATATCACGTTGGAATCTCAATTAAATAAGCTTTCTTTTGACATATATCATTTTAAAATGTTTAAATTTACTCAGACGATATCGAAAGATGGAACAAAGGATGATTTGATCATTGTAACCTATCACATATCTCATATAATGAGAGATAATAGCAATTCATTTGAAACATATCATATCGTTTTAGAATCCTTATTAAATAGGCTTTCATTTGAGATATGGCACATTAAAATATCTTAATTAATATAGATGGCGTCGAAGAGCAAAAATTAGGTCGATTTTGACAATTTTAACCTATTACTAAAAAGCGGATTTAAGCAAAACCACAAATTTTCATTAATGATATTATACCACTTTAGAATCCCTATTAATTAAGCTTTCTTTTGACATATATCATTTTAAAATGTTTAAATTTACTCAGATGATATCGAAAAATGAAACATAGAATGATTTGATCGTGTTAACCCATCACATATATCATATAATGAGAGATAACATAAATTCATTTGAAACATATCATATAATTTTAGAATCCTTATTAAATAGGCTTACATTTGAGATATGGCACATTAAAATATCCTAATTAATATAGATGAGCAAAAATTAGGTTGATTTTGGCAATTTTAACCTATTACAAAAAAGCGGATTTAAGCAAAACCACAAATTTTAATTAATGATATTATATCACGTAGGAATTCCTATTAATTAAGCTTTCTTTTGATATATATCATTTTAAAATGTTTAAATTTACTCAGACGATATCGAAAGATGAAACAAAGGATGATTTGATCGTTTTAACCCATCACATATATCATATTATGAGGGATAACAAAAATGCTTTTGAAACATATCATATCATTTTAGGATCCTTATTAAATAGGCTATCATTTGAGATATGGGACATTATAATATCTAGATTTATATAGGTGGCGTCGAAATGAAAAAATTAGCTTGATTTTGTCAATTTTAATCAATCACGAAAAAGCGGATTTAAGCAAAACTAAAAATTTTAATCAATGATATCATATAGCGTTAGAATCCGCATTGATTAAGGTTTATTTTAAGATATATCACATTAATATACATAAATTTGTAAGGAAGTTATTACACATTGTAACAAGCTAAAATCTTGAAAAAAAACCTGAGTTTTTGTATACCAAAAAATAAGTTAATGAAAAAATCAAAAATAAAACAACCCTTAAGAAAACAAAATTAAAATCATAGAAAGAACTTGTAGAACTAAAATTTTTGTTTAAAGCAAATGTAAGTACTGAAAGAAATAATCAAAATTACATAATTATAATTACGTTTTTTTTTTAGATTGGTTAAAATTAAAAGCAGAACCAAAAACCCACCACAATCTTAAATAAATAATAATAAAACAAACCAAAAAGAGAACTCGTGTCGTACGTACATGGCTTACTTTGGACGTATGCGTGCGCAAACTTGACTCGGTGGCGAAACCTTTGCCGCAAATGTTGCAGTGAAACGGACGGTTTTTCGCCCTTTCCACTTGGGCGTCGTGATTCCTCAAATGCTGCTGAAGATTGGACAGTTGGATGAACGCTCGGCCGCAATCCGGAAGATGGCATTTGTAAGGTCTTTCACCTAAAAACGCAAAAATTAATTAATTAAGAATATATATTTTGGCGGAGGAGCCGGGAAGGAATAATTTAAAAAAAAATAACTTTCATTTAAAACGAAACGATTACTAAGTTAATTTTAAAGGGGATAGATTCGATTTGGATTCGATTCGACTTCGTTTTGAATTCGTTTTGACATCGTTTCGGTGTCTCCGCCATCATCAGGAGGATGACGATCGCGAAGAATGAAAAGGAAACGTAAAACATCACGTCGAATCTTGAAGGGTTTTAAATTTAAATTTTTTTTGTTTTTTATTTTTTATTTCCTTTTTTTACGATCCCCACATCGTATGCAAATCAACATAACAGAAGCGGCGGCTACCGGTTATTCTTGTTGCTGTCGTCTTCTCTTCGGAACCCCATTTAAAAAAATGTTACACAGAAAAAAAAACAAAGAAAAAGAGGAAGGGTTCAATAGTAATTTTAATTTCTCCTCGATTCCCATATGTTCAAGAAGACAACAACCGCTTATTTTTTTGTAGTCTTAATTTTTTTCTTAAACGGTGACCTCATTGTCTTTTTCGTTCCCCTCAAAACTGTTTAAGGAAGTAGTATTTAAAGTTTTAAAAAGACCGTTAGTAATTGGAATTAAAAATTATATATATATTTTTTTAATAAATAGGGTCAAAATTACCACAAAAATATTTTTTTTTAACAATTAATATATCTCCATAAAATCAAATTAGAATTTATTTGAAACTTTTTTTAGCTGTAAATGGGTAGTTTTTTTAACATAAATGTATAGGAAATTAAAAATCCTTTAAAATGAGCCCAAACTTGACCTATTTATCTTTAACCATTATCGAGATATATTAATTTTTTGAGAAAAAAGATGGCGATCATTTGACATATGACATTTGGCACTTTCTAACCTAACTTTTTTGTATTTTAATTGATATATATCAAGTTTGGTATCAAATTAAAGCATTTTTGATTCTTATTACGATCATTTAAATATTTATTAAAAAATCGTTATTTTTAATTTTGACATTTGACAGTTTCTAACCTAACTTTTTTATGTTTTCATTCAAATATATCAAGTGGTATGAAGATTGAACCCAAACTCGACCTATTTATCTCCAACCGTTATCGAGATATCTTAATTTTTACAAAAAAATGACAATTATTTGACATTTGACAGTTTATAACCTAACTTTTTTATTTTTTAACGTAAACATATCGTGTTTGGTATCAAATTAAAGCATTTTTGATTCTTATTAAAATAATTTCAATATTTATCAAAAAATCATTCTTTTTAATTTTGACATTTGACAGTTTCTAACCTAACTTTTTTATTTTTTAACTTAAATATATCATGTTTGGTATCAAATGAAAGCATTTTTGATTCTTATGAAGATTATTTAAATATTTATCAAAAAATTATTATTTGTAATTTTGACATTTGACAATTTTTGACTTAACTTTTTTATCTTTTAACTTAAATACGTCAAGTTTGGTGTCAAATTAAACGGTTTTAAGTTGTTATTAAGAAAATAAACTTATTTAACAATTTTTAACGAAAAATATAGATGATTTTTCAATTAATGAATCATAAAACGTAGTAAAAATCATAAAAATTACAATGAATGAAACGTAATCCTTTTTAAAAAACGATTCCGATAAAAAAGTCAAGATAGCCGCAAACGTGCTGCTCACGTGCACCGTTAACGAAATAATTACGCGCAGGGGGACGGAAATTGCAGCTTGTCGTACAAACTCCGGGAACGCCCATTGCCACAACTTCGTGGCTCCGCTTTCTTCCTCATTTTTACTTAAAGAAACATTTTTGAACTCTCTTTTTTTATTTAAGACTTTTTTTCCGATTTTTCCTCCGGGTGCAATCGAAGAACGCCATGTGGTAACTGTAGAGTCCGTTTGGGGGTTTTTTCGATTTTTTTCTTTTAGAATTAACAAACCCTTTCCGGAACGGCGTACACGCGCTCGCCACACACACAATTTAAACCGTGTATACGCCCACGAAAACGCGACATTGTTTCTCGAATCACCTGCTGCAATCGCCCCGACGATTACTCGGAGTCTTCTTACTCCTCAACTCCCCCTCAACGTTTGTTTAGACCGTTGCGAGGTGAAGATCTTTTTCGATAACGATTAAACTCGGGGCCCCGATCAACTACAACGCCACATGGCGTTTAAAACTCATCATCAGGATGTTCTTGGTTAGATTTTTTTTTCGTTTTCGTCGACGGGTTGTTAGCCAGATTTACAAATTGGGGGTGGAGACCTATAATTTTTTTCCGGGTGTCATAGCCGGAAACCGTTTGATTTTATCGAGATATATTAATTCTTAAAGGAAAAAAATTTTCATGTGGTAATTTTTAAAACCACAAACCCACTTATTACATTAACCTCTTTTTTGAGGGTTAAGCTTTCTCTTTTCTCTTTCTCTCTTTATATATTATATAAATATATTAAGCACTTTTATTAACATTTTATATATTTATATATACATACATGAGTTTCTTAATAAGAATCAAAAATCCTTTAATTTGATACCAAACTTGATATATTTTGGTGAAAAAATAAATACGTTAAGGTAGAATCTGTGAAATGTCAAAATTAAAAATAATGATTTTTTGATAAATATTAAAATGATATCAATAAGAATCAAAAATGCTTTAATTTGATACCAAACACGATGTATTTAGGTTAGGAAATAAAGAAGTTAGGTTAGAAACTGAGAAATGTCAAAATTAAGAACAATGATTTGTTGATAAATATTGAAATGATCATAATAAGAATCAAAAATGCTTTAAATTGATACCAAATATGACATATTTGAGTTAAAAAATAAAAAGTTAGGTTAGAAACTGTCAAATGTCAAAATTAAAAATAAGGATTTTTTGATAAATATTAAAATAATCTCAATAAGAATCAAAAATGCTTTCATTTTTTACCAAACATGATATATTTGAGTTAAAAAATAAAAAGTTAGGTTAGAAACTGTCAAATATCAAAATTAAATATAATAATTTTTTGATAAATATTGAAATAATCATACTAATAAGATTCAAAAATGTTTTAATTTGATATCAAACGATACACTTAGATCAAAAAATAAAAAAGTTAGGTTAAAAAGTGTCATATGTCAAAATTAAAAATAATGATTTTTTGATAAATATTGAAATGATCTTAATAGGAATCAAAAATGCTTTAATTTGATACCAAACTTGATGTTTTTATTAAAAAATAAAATCTTAGGTTAGAAAGTGTCAAATGTCATATGTCAAATGATCGCCATCTTTTATTGATAAAAATTAATATATCTTGATAACGATTGGAGATAAATAGTTCGAGTTTGGGTTCATTTAAAAGGATTTTTAATTTCCCATCCACTTTTTAAAGAACTTCTTTACAATTAAAAAGTTAGGTTAGAAACTGTCAAATGTCAAAATTAAATATAATGATGTTTTGATAAATATTGAAATGATCTTAATAAAAAGCAAAAATCGTTTAATTTGGTACTAAATACGATGTATTTAGATTATAAAATAAAAAAGTTATGTTAGGAACTGCCAACTGTCAAATATAGAAATAATGTTTTTTTGATAAACATTGAAATGATCTCAATAAGAATCAAAAATGCTTTCATTTGATACCAAACTTAATATATTTGAATTAAAAAAATAAAAAACTTAGGTTAGAAAGTGTCAAATGTCAAAATAAAAATAATGACTTTTTGATAAATATTGAAATGATCATAATAAGAATCAAAACTACTTTAATTTGATACCAAACTTGATGTATTTGAATAAAAAACAAAAAAGTTAGGTTAGAAAGTGTCAAAGGTCATATGTCAAATGATCGCCATCTTTTATTGTTATAAAATAAATATATTTTGATAACGATGGGAGATAAATAGGTCGAGTTTGGGCTCATTTTAAAGGATTTTAATTTCCTATCCATTTTTTTAAGAAGAGAACTCCTTTACAATTAAAAAGTTAGGTTAGAAACTGTCAAATGTCAAAATTAAATATAATGACATTTTGATAAATATTGAAATGATCATAATAAAAATTAAATATGCTTTAATTTGATATCAAATATGATATATTTGGATTAAAAAAAGGAAAAAGTTAGGTTAGAATCTGTCAAATGTAAATATTTAAAATAATAATTTTTTGATAAATATTTAAATGATCTTAATAGGAATTAAAAATGCTTTAATTTGATACCAAACACGATATGTTTACGTTAAAAAATAAAAAAGTTAGGTTATAGACTATCAAATGTCAAATAATTGTCATTTTTTCTAAAAATTAAGATATCTCTATAACGGTTGGAGATAAATAGGTCGAGTTTGGGTTCAATCTTGATATATTTCAATGAAAACATAAAAACGTTAGGTTAGAAACTGTTAAGTGTCAAAATTAAAAATAATGATTGTTTGATAAATATTGAAATGATGATAATAAGAATCAAAAATGCTTTAATTTGATACCAAACTTGATATATTTGAATTAAAAAATAAAAAAGTTAGTCTAGAAAGTGTCAAATGTCATATGTCAAACGATCGTCATCTTTTTTTTGCTAAAAATTAAGATATCTTGATAACGATTGGAGATAAATAGGTCGAGTTTGGGTTCATTTTAAAGGATTTTTAATTTCCCATCCATTTTTTTAAAGAAAAGAACATCTTTACAGTTACAATATTTGGCGGATTTTTAACAATTTTTTTTTCCAAAACGGTTTCGAATTAACAAGCAAAACTTTGTGGGGTCACAAAAGAATGTTTAAGGTGTGATCACACCAAATTTAAAATTTTTAGTTATAACAAGCTGAATAATCTAGCTTATTTAGCCCCACAATAGTTTCCAACAACCAATTTGTCATCGCTCACAACGTTACAATGCTCATCATGTCATCGATTGTACCTCAAAGATTAGATTAGACGAGATAGACTTTAAATTATTTTATTTGATCGTGTAATATATATTCATCTTTTTT